GTAAAGTAGGCTAAAAGTCCAAATTCAGGGTGTCAGCTCCAGGGGAAGGCTTTCTCTCTTGGCCTTCTCATCAGTGTTCCCCCGGACTAGGAGCTTCTCTGTGCAGGGACCCCAGTCCAAAGGACGCACTCTGCTCCTGGCACTGCTTTCTTGATGGTATGAGGTCCCCCTGTCTCACTGCTCACTTCTGTCTAGAGAGATTGCCTCAGGACACAATCCAGTCTTGTAGATCAGGTCCTGCCTTACTACCACAACTGCGACCCATCCTCCCTCATTAATATCATAGAGGCAGGTTTACAACATACAGGAAAATCACACAGTACCAGGAATCATGGCCTAGCCAAATTGATACACACATTTTTTGGGGGACATAATTCAAACCATGATACCCATTGACACAGTCATAGGGATTGGTCGGTGATAGTATACAAACCTGGCTCCAACTGGATTATTAAAGTTAACTGAACAATTAAAGTTGTTTTTTGAAATTTAATTTTTATCCAATAGATCATCAGCACTTAAAGGTATTGTTTAACATATACTTTCATATCTTTTTCTAGACTACTGGGCTTGGAGGATCAGCAGTGGCAGGCCATACATCAGACCAGATTGAAAGCATGGTGCCCATTAAGGATCGCATCATTAAAGTTACCTTCAATGCAGATGTGCATGCAAGTCTCCAGTGGAACTTTAGACCTCAGCAAACTGAAGTATATGTAAGTGACTAAAGCAATTAATAAAAGATTACCTTTTCAATGTAAAAATTCTTTTCTTTCATCACTGAAACTGTTTCATAGTTTAGGTAACACTCATGTAAACTTAATTTTAAAATCCTGACGACTTCATCACTGGAATTTTTATTCCCACAGACTACTTTTTGATAGTGATGTAAACCTAATGTAACAGAATATACTTTAACTTTTAAGGTATATATTACTATAGTGAAACTCAGTTTGAAAGAATGGAAGATGTCATCTGTTTTTATAAGAATCACATTAGGCGTTCACTAAGTAGTCCTCTGGTCACTAATCTCGGGAGTAGCTGCAGCTGTCAGGCATATAGCTGATTTTTCCTTAGGTGTGGAGGATGTTGAAAATCATTGGTTACAATGAAAGGAAAAATGTTGAAAACCATTGGTTACAATGAAAAGTAGTTTACTGGTTTACATGAAAAGTGTCCTTGTCCCTCAAAAAAAAGAAAAAAATTGAAGACCTTTGAAGTAGTCATAATAGTCATGTTATATTCCATTAAGAGTATACCTAAAACGTTTTCCTAAGATCTTGACTAACTTGAATCTAAGGAAGATTTGATTGAAATTATGTCATTAACCGAGGATTAACCAGAAAGAATTTCAACCCTTATTGAAAAACCCTTATTAGTGCTTCCCTAGATTAGTAAATGTGACTGATTCTCCTCAATGATTAAGCATTCCAGTAAGTCATTATTTTGCGTATGTGTTCCAATTACATGATAGTGTACAAGGTATTAATGGCTGAATTGGTACAAGTGACAAAACATTCTTTGGAAATTTTTTTTTTTTTAAACTTGCTGTTTTTCTTATCTGTCGTTTTCTCAAAACAAAGATTTAAAGCTATTGGGTTAAATAAAGGTTCTATTCATTCAGATTTTTACTCTGGTTGTAAGTAAGCTGAGTTTAACGTTGGTAGAAAACCAAAAAACCAAACCAGTTGTCACTGATTCGATTCCGACTCGTAACGACCCTATAGGACAGAGTAGAACTGCCCCATAGGGTTTCTAAGGAGCGGCTGGTGGATTTGAACTGCCACCCTTTTGGTTAGCAGCCAGGCTTTTAACCACTGCGCCACTGGGGCTCCTTAATGGTGGTATCCTTTAAAATTTTTTTTTTAGTCAATCATATAATGTTATTCAAGTGTAGGTGTTACCAAGAATTTAGGCTTGGGCTGTGATAGGCTAGGCTTGCCCATAAACACATTTTAAATAACTTAATATGCAGATATTTGCTTGAAGACTGCAGATACACAAGAGGATAATCCATAACTAATTATGTATAATAGAGCATTGGTTCTTCATTGATATATGCAAATACAATTTGAAACTCAGTTATGTTAATGGTAATATTTGTGATTTATTTTGCTGACCCTTATATTAGTTTACATTAGGTATTGTCTGATCAATAAGAAAAATATTATGACTGTAATTTAGTAGGGAAGAGAAAGAGCTGTGTAAGATTTAAAGTATTGATAATGTATATTTTCTTTAAAACAGGTAGTACCAGGAGAGACTGCACTGGCATTTTATAAGGCTAAGAATCCTACTGACAAACCAGTAATCGGAATTTCTACATACAATGTTGTACCGTTTGAAGCTGGACAGTATTTCAATAAAATACAGGTACAACAAAATGCAAACTTTATAGAATATGATAAAGGGACAATGAAACTCTGTAATACTAAATTTGCTGCATTGTTTTGGTATAGGTACTTGTAATTTCTAAACTTCAATCTGTTTTTTTTTTTTTTCCCATTGTTTACACCAGTTACATGGAGATTGAGATCCAAACCAAATGGGTATCTGCTTTTAAGGTTAGAAGAAATAATTTGGTGATTCTCAATCCCTAAAGCAGAGCTCAGTCTGAGATGGAAAAGATGCCATTAGTCCATCACAGATCTTAAGGATACAGCTATATTTAACAGTATGCTTATGAAAGCCAATAATTGAACCATTAGTTTCTGTTACAGTAATACAATATAAATGTTATTAAGTTACATCTTTCTATAACTTCTAGTGCTTCTGTTTTGAAGAACAAAGGCTTAATCCACAAGAGGAAGTAGATATGCCAGTGTTTTTCTACATTGATCCTGAATTTGCTGAAGATCCAAGAATGGTGAATGTTGATCTCATCACTCTTTCTTATACTTTTTTTGAAGCTAAAGAAGGGCACAAGTTGCCAGTTCCAGGCTATAATTGAAGTCAGCAACTAAATCTTACTTCAAGTATGTGATTTTTGAAAAATCATGTATCTGCCTTCTCAGAGAAGAAATAATTCTACTATAATGTATAGTCTTATATTTAATTATTATGCACTGATGATTCTACTTCCCCCCTCCCCCAACTAATTTACCTACTTAAAATTGAGAGAACAGGTTTAGCTTTTACCATAAGGAACCCACTGTGCTGGTTTAGAATGTATGACTGTTCACTACCAAACTTAGTTTGACAGTGGTATTAAAAGAAACTGCAGGCATGGATTTAATGGTACAGCTTAATTCAATAGATTGCTTCCAAATTATTGACCTTTCATACTTGTAGCATCAAACCTGAGAATTTAAAAAAAAAAAAAAAAAAAATTATACCTAATGGTATTTATTTTACGCTGTAGGCCAGAACTTCTGACCATGTTTATTATTATCCTTAAAATAGTTGGTTGCTACTTGCCTTCAATGTGAACAGTCATTATTTTAAAAGCTCAACATGGAAGAGAAGTCACTAAGTAACTTGCCCACAGATTACATTCTTATTTCAAATTCTACTTTATTTTTCCTTTAAGATCTAGGGCTACTTTATATTCATAGTACTGAATAATTACTTTGAAATTGTAGTACCATGAAACTGAAATAAAATGCCTAAATCCATCTATTAGGCTTCTAGGATTTACTGTGATAGTTTTTCAAGTCCCCGAATATTAAAATGTTTAAGTGTGGGGTTGTGTACGTGTACTGACATCAAAAGTTCTTCTGTGAACAAACTGTAAAAAAGATACATTAAATCATTTTAATAGTAATTTATTTGTCATTGTAATTTATGTAAACTAATGCAGTTTATTCTGAATGTTTTCCAGTAGTCTTTCTTCTAAATAGAAATGTTAAATTACTGTAAAAAGACCAAAAAAAAAGAATATTTAGTATTATAAAGAATCAAATTTAAAGGCAACTCGATGCAGAGTCCAGGGATGTTTACAATCATCAAGGCGTTTACAACTCATTCTAAACGAGTATTATTTATAAAGAAGTGCAAATTGACTTTTACATTCAACTTTAAATGAAGGCACTCAGTATTCTTCCTGAAGAATACCTTTAGTTTCTCACGTTTGATGCTTAACATCTATTCAGAATTATTTTGTAATAAAGTAATCTTCATCTGTTCTTATCACAACTGTGTGATGATTTCTTTCCCAAATGTAGGAAGGCCTGTAAAACCTAAGACCCTGAAATTAAACTTGGTGGCTGAAGTATAGTAAATTTTTCTTCAGCTGAAGTTTTAAATGAATATCTGTTACAAACAACTTCTTTTGAGATAAATCTTGAGCTGTTGTCCAGAACCATAAATGCTACCCTGGAACTATTGCTCTTCTATTCAAACTTCATTATTGCAGAGAAGAAATGTTCCAGTATCCACCATGGTTTTGATGTGTTGGTAGGTTGTGTCTTCCGGCTTCAAAGCTGGACAGAGTCTACCCTTTAGAGAGGTGCCACTCCTGATGCAGCTTGTGAGCTGGTTGTCCAGTTTCACCTAGAACAGAGAGAAGAAGGTAGCCAATCATCTCTATTCTTTTCTCATTTCTCCCCATTCTTTGATAACTTTTCTGCATCTTTCTCTACTGGGAGGCTGGAGAGCCACAGTCTAGTAGAGGAGAAGTGGGAATTTACTTCCATTGGTGGGGGAGGGCGTGAGGAGAATAAAAAAGGCTAATAGATCACTGGTGGCTAGGCATTCATTAGTAATTAAATGGGATTACTGTAGCTGGAGCATTAGACAGTAAATAGGAGGAATCCAGACATATGCGGAAGACTTAGCAATGAGTGGGTTCTACCAGGACCAATTAACAGGAATTGACCGCACATTCAGGACAAGTGCATGATTTCATTGCTAACCCTGGTGACGCAGTGGTTAAGTGCTGCGGATGCTAACCAAAAGGTTGGCAGTTTGAATTCACCAGGTGCTCTTTGGAAACTCTGTGGGGCAGTTCTGCTGTGTCCTATAGGGTCACTATGAGTCGGAATCCACTCTATGGCTACGGGTTTGGTTTGCTATTTTTTAATACTGTAAACCAACCTTTGCATTCCCAAGCCTCATTATTGTTAGTTGAAAAGGCTACAAAGAATGCATTTCATTAGTGAACAATAGTTCATTACTATTTGAGTAATCAAGAAGAACTTTTGTAATGATATTTCAGTCACCAAAGCATCACTCTCAGATGGCCCTAATGTAAATATTAAATATAGAAAATGATAACTGCACTGAAATTAAGTAGAATGTGATATGTAAGTTTTGTAAGTTAAAGTTTTTACCTCAACAGTCAATATGACTTTGAGCTCTTCTGAGCTGATGATCATCAATTTCTTCATAAACAGCTCTGAAACAAAAACAGCCATCATGGCAAAAGGGTTATTTATCAATTAATGCATTGATAATAAATGTCAATTAATTTCAGAGTACTATTTTGGTTTTTAACTGCTAGCACCTTAACTAAAAATTTGGTGCTACTTTGAGTATTCAGGCCACATCAGTGAAGAAAAACAGAACTCTGCCCTGAAGCTTACATTCACGCTTTCTTAAATTCTAATGTTGAAATCCTTATGCATCTTACAAATATCCATAGCACATAACCAATTCAGTTTTGTAATTTAAATAAAAAATGGCTCAAATTTGAAAAAAGTTTCCTTTCTGCTAAAAAAAAAAAACAAAAAAAAAAAACCTGTTCAGCTTTTCCTGTTTTCAAAAAAAAAAAAGTTCTGCTCCAGTTTATTTAACCTATGTGATTATAGTCCAGGCTCCTAAGCAATCTTATAACTCTGACATCTTTCATTCAATACCTTACATATATCCATAGGTAGAAAATGATATCTATACCCATAAATATGACATTCAGATATAAAAATCAGCACTATAAAGCCATGATCCCTAACTTCATTAGGCCTCCCAGCATGGCCCCGCAATCTTACTATGTTTCTCTAATAAGCTTCATCTCTCATTTTCCACAGATTTCAACCTTCTTTAGCCTGTGATCCCCATTTTTCACTCTCAGCCAGATCTCACTTAATGAGATTAAATGTCATGATACCGAAACTTGCTCATCTTCCATCACTAAATCTTCATCTATTTTCATCTGCACCTATCTTCTACTGTTGTGATTCTATCGACCTCTGCCTTCTCAAACACTTTACTCATTCAGTCATCCCCCATTCCTGAATCTTCAACCTCACCCTCTCTACTAGATCCTACACTTCAGCATTCAAAGATGCTCTAGCATCTACCATTTTATAAAACACATTACTTAAACTCATGTATATTTGATTACCTCATTAATCTTTCTCTAGCTGCCAGACACTTTCCATCATTCTTTCACATGTAAGCTTCTAGTAAGTTATCTACATATTATCTCTTACTTACTTTTTAATACACTGAAATTTGGCTTCCATACCCATCAATCTACCAAAATGACTTACTAAAACCACCAATGATTTCTATGTCTATTCTGATGTCTAGTTTTCAGTCCTCTGTCTTACTTGACCTCTCAGCAATGTTCATTAGAGCTGTATACACCCTTCTCTTTGCTTCCAAATTACAGTTTCCACATCTGTTAACAGGCTCCCCATTGCTCCCTTAACTCTCAGCTCTGACTTTTCCATTTCCTTGAGTACACCAAGTTTCTTTCTTTCCTTAGGGTCTTTGTACAAGTTGTTCTCTGGGCCTGTAACATTCCCAAACTTGTCCCATGACTAACAATTGCAGGTCTCAGCTTTAATGTCACTTCCTCAAACTTTCTCTAACCTCCAATTAGTTCTCCCTGTTAATATTATCAAGTCACTATATTCTTTCACACCATTAAGACCAATTGTAAATATATGTTTGCCTACTGATTTAATTTCCATCTACACACTTTATCTCCATAAGGACAGGGAGCGTGTCTCGTGTTCAATATTATAAATTAGGCACCAATCACAGTCCCTGGCACATAATAAATGTTCAATAAATTCATTAAATGAATGAATTGTGTGTGTGTGTGTATCTCCATAAATATTTTACTTTGTCCTGCTAGAGTAGAAATTCTTAACCAGGGCTTCATAAATAACCAGTGATAGGAAAATCCCAGAACTTTTCTGCAGAATTCTGTGCTTTTCTGTGCAGAGAAGTTCCCTGGATTTCATGAGATTTTCAAAGGAACTGAGACACCCTACCACCCAGAAATTAAGAACCATAATGGTAGAAAATTCTAAAACTTCATCTCTGGAGCTTTCCTTCTCTCTCATCTTTGATATCTGTTGCACGGCCATATCTACTTAATCTAATTAACTGGGATATAATTTTTAAAAAAAGCTTCTCCGCTTCCCCTTTGGAGGCAGAAACTGATAAAAACATTCAGTTTCCAGAGAGCATACCTAGTTTAATACCAATTATTTCTAATCCTATAAATCACTAATATTATTCAGTGATACATTATTAAGCAGAATAATGATGTAGGGCAATTTGACAATCTTGAACGAGGAAAAACTATTTAGTGAACTAAGTCTAGAAGATGTATTCATACATTATTCCAAATTGTACCACTAAATTGAGCATTTAAACTGGGGGTCAAAAACTCAAAATGCCTACCCATGCCAGGCAGATCAAATGAATGGACGCAGCGGGTCAAGTGGCGCCCAGTGGACTGCAGAGTATGCCTTGTCTAAAAGAGGCAGCTACCACTCAGCTCCAGCCTATTGTTAGCATATAAAAATGCAGGCTTGGCTCTGCCAGGGCTTCCAAATGATTCAGATTTTTTGGAAATACCCCAGTTTTTTGCTATTGGAAATTAATTTAAAAAATGCACATTTTAAATTTTGTATAGATCAAACAAAACACAATTACTGGCAAGATACAGTTTCTGAAGAATGATCTCCATAAACTTGTCTTAATCATTTGTAAGAATTTTAGGGGTAACCTTCAATCAATCACAGTATATGAAAACTCTAATAAGTCTACCACTCCTCTATCCCATAAATATTTATGTACTTTTGACCAATATGAAATAAAATAATGGTGCTTTAAGTATTTCAAGTTAAGAAGAACTTTTTTTAGACTGAACACTTTATTAATCCATTTTAACTACATTTTGTCATAGGTAGGAGCCTTGATAGCACAGTGGTTAAGAGCTCAGCTGCTAACCAAAAGGTTGGCAGTTCGAATCCACTAGCTGCTCCTTAGAAACCCTATGGGGCAGTTCTACTCTGTCCTATAGGGTCACCATGAGTCTGAATCAAGTTGACGGCAATGGGTTTGGTTTGATTTGGTTTGTCACAGGTAGTGAAGACTAAAAACAAGTTATTTTATATGTTCTTTGGGGTTCAGTAGTCAGAGAACAGGTAAAATATCCCATCAATGTGGTATTACTTATGTCACCAGTCAGCAAATAGTGCCCTTCCCAAGCCAGAAAGAACCTGACTTTTTACCAAGGCATCTATGAGGAATCTGTTAATGTCCATGTTGGTTCTGGTTATTTCTTAATCTGCAACTTCAGCACTTTTATTTTTTAGTCACAAGGCCAAGAACAATAAGACCATTGAGAGCAACAGCCTCCATGAAGCCTTTTAAGTCATTTTTAATAAGGCCATCAACTTCTGCCAACTCCTAAGCAAAGTTATATGTATAACCAAGCCCTGTTAGCTCTGCTACCAAAAGGAACCCAGACAAAAAATATATTAATCATTTTGTAATGACTTACTCTGCAGTGACAGCAGGAGCTAAGGGATCAAACTCCATTATCTCATAGTAACTGGGTTGCTGAAGATCATTCTTTATCATCGCTTTAGGGGGTAAAAAAAGAACCTGTAAACACGTGTTGTGCTTTTCCAAGAGATACGTGCAATTAATATTCTCTTTATAATTTAAAAACTTCAAATATAAGATCCAACAAGAGACTGACAATCAAACAAAACTACATGTAAAATATTTCCAAACCTCCACTAAAGATCTATTTACTTTAATGTTCAAAAGATGAAATGCAGTTCAACACACATTTTTACAACCTCTTAATGTCAGTCATAATGTATCTACCCTAAATTTATTTCATGAAGCTTAAAATGTAAATAAGGTCCTCTAATTTCTCCCCTCTCTGTATCTAGTTTTAATTACCAATAAATGTAGGGAAGACTCATACATTCTCACAGGTTTCCTTATTTGATGCAAATAATAAGGTCTCAGGTACCTGGATGACCGCTGGGCAAGGATGGCAGCCTCTGGTTTGACGATGTTGCTGGGATGCTCTGTAGATTAACCGGCTGTAGTAACACTGAATGTGAATCTTCTGGAAACTGAAGAAAGCATAGCATGTGTTCAAATCAACATTCTATATTAAGCTTTTCTCTTTTATTATTTAGATTCCTAGGCTTCCAAGTGACACTGTTCCAAGAACCATACACACTTTCTCACTGATGGACTATCTTGTTATCTGACATTTTGCATTTACGACAATAGTACAAAGATCTACTATCCGACTATCTTGCGCATTAACAATGTATGTCTGGCAGTAACAAATGCTGAGGTACGAGGTGAAACTAATGCTGGTTTTCATGGTTAAGGTTATGTGTCAAGTTGGCTGGGCCATGATTCTCAGTGATTTGGCAGTTATGAAATGATGTAATTTGGCAGTTATGAAATGATGTAATCTAGCAGTTATGTAATGATGCCGTCATCTTCCATTTTGTGAGCTGATGTGGTCATCCTCCATTTTTGCACAAAACCAATTTCACATAACGACCTGGTCTTTGGAACCTAACCATGTCCATAAGTGAGTAGAGGGTGTATTCTCAACTAGATACGAATTAGTAATTTACACTATTCAGTTTTCTAGGCAATAACCACTTACAAAAATTACTGCTCTTCCCTCTGGTTTTACAACCAGTGCATCCCAGTTTTTCATATAAAATTTAAAATAAAAAATAAAAACATTGCTTTTAAAAAAGAAGTGGGATGGGATTCCATATTCTCAATTGTTTCCAGCTACTAAATACAAAATATCTCAGCCTCAAACAGGAAAAACAAAAAAAAAAACAAAACAATCTTAACTCTACAGAGAAGCACAGGGTGACCCTATTAAATTGGAGTCTGAAAAGATAAAGATTAAATTCTAAATTAGAAATACTTCTTTCTTGTCCTAGTTTCCCCTATTAATTTCAAAAATAAGTACTGGGCACATACTAGATGCCAGGCATTGATAATAGAGTAATAGATAAAACAGGCCAAGTCCCTGCCCTCATGGAACAGACCATCAACAAACAAGCAGATATTAGATAGAAGTGCTTATAGGACTTAATCTTTAAATGCAGGGTAAAGGGGATAAGAGAAGCTGGAGTGGATGGGGTTGGGGGAGAGGAGCACTGCTCTGATATACTGTGGTCAGGGATGCATGGCCAATGGGAAAATTTGAGCAGAAACCCAAGTGAAGTGGGCCCTGTGATGATCTGAGGGAACAGCAAGTTCACAGGCTCTGAAGCGGAAAAAGCCAACGTGAATACTCTTGTTTTTCTTCATATCGTACAAATCTTCTGCCTTTTACTAAAGATTTTCATGGAGAGGAATCCAGTGTGGTTGCAGCAGAGTGAGCATAGAGAAGGGGGCAATAGGTGGGGTAGGAGAGGTAATGGGAGATCAGATCAGCAGTTCAGACTTTCACTGAGTAAAATAAAGTCAAAGAAAGTCACAGGTGGTTTTGAACAGATAAGTGATATAGTATGACTTTATTTTTTAAAAACATTGCTCTGGTTTCTGTTTTGAGAATAAATTGTGAGGGCAGTGGGTAGCAGGGGAGAGCGGGAAAGGCAAAGGCAGAAGCAGAAGACCCTTAGAAGGCCACTGAAATATCCATCTGATGGTGGTTTGAGCTAGGATGTTGAAGTGGAGGTGGTGAGAAGTGGCTGGATAGTGGGTATATTTTGAAAGTAAAAGACACAGTTCAAGCACAATTTTCCAAGGTTTCTGGCCTGAGCAACTGAAAAAGTGGAGTGGCCTTCTTACTGAGGAAGACTGCAGGAAGAGCAGGTTGGGAACAGGGACTGGGAAGAAATCAAGAGGCTATGTTAAGTGGAATGTGAATATATGAGTCCAGGGGTCAGGGGAGGGGACTGGGCTGGAGATTCAAATTTGTAAGTTATCAGAATGTGAATGGTTTTTCAAGATACGGTACCAAAAGACCACTGAGGAATGAATGCACACAGAGAAGAGAGGTCTGAAGCCTGAGCCCTGGGGTCTCCAACACTGAAAGGTCTGTAGAGGAGGAGAAGCCAGCAGAGGAGTTGGAGATGAGATGGAGTGGAGGTGAGGTGAGAGAATAACCAAAAGTGAGTGAGGTCTCTGAAAGCACACGTACAAAGAGGAGGAAGTGATTAACTTTGTCACATGCTACTGAAATATCTAGTAAGATGAGGACCAAGAATTACAGTAGTACTTTGGTACTATGGAAGTCACTGGTGACCTTGACAAGAGCTGTCAGCAGGGTGGTATGGATGAAAGCTTGTTTGAAATCTGCCAAAGAGGATGGGAGGAAGCAAAGTGGAAACAGCAAATGCAAACAACTATAAAGGAATTTTGATCCTTAACCATCTTCTTAACAGAAGTGAGACTCAGATTAAAAAGGAACCAAGGAAAAGTCCTATCAAGGGCTGGATCAACTCATTATAAATATAAAGAAACACGGAGCAGAACATGAAACTTAACAACCAGAAATCCTTGTTTTTTTGGCCAGGATCATCTGCTGACTAGGTGCACTGCCAGAGAAAGGCTTCATTACTTACATTGTCATATATGTGACTTGAGGCGAGGTTTTGGCTGGTCCTTTGGGGAAACCTAGGATAGTGTGATAACACAGCATGGTTACCCTACAGTGAGAACACAAATGCAAAAAGTAAGACAATTTTCCTGATCTAAAAACAACATCTAAAACGTACTTTCTGACTGCACAAAAGTGGTACTTTCACATAACAATTGCCACGTGGTCTCAGTGTCCACCAGGGCAGGATGCCCAAACATCAAAGAGATCAAAGACATACAGTACTGTGCCTTGGCAGTGGTAACCCTGAGCCCCTGGAGTGTGCACGAGACACAGATAAGAACAGAACTTTCAGTTTTTCCATCAGAGCAGCTACCACCTCATCATTTCCTGAAGGATGACAGGCAATACAGAGTAAAAGTTAGGAAGAGAGTGGGGAGGATTCTGGTTATCGGTAAGATGGAGGGAACACATTCCACCCTGTCTCTCCCACTGAACACAAATCTAAAATCCTGGACAGAATGCACAGAGCAACTATTTGAGGACTCTGAAAGGTAAACAGTAGCAGGCAGATTGGGAAGGACCAGTATTCAAAGCACCACAGAACTGTTGGTGAATTTATCATTTGTCCCCCTCTGATTTCTCTAGCCTGAATGTAATGCAGCCTGAAATCCAAAAGCAGGCATCAGTGAAGACAGACAGAACTCCAGGAGAAGCCCCCTAGTTTTCACTCAAGGAGCAGGAAACTCCTGATGCTCAGAGAGAGTGTAGAAATCCCTCTTCCCCTTTTTTTCTTCTCTTTGTTCTTTCACACCCCAACTCCCAGGCAATTCCAAGGTGCAAGCAGTGACAGCGGAGGCAACAGGGACTTTTAGGGGCTTAAACAGTGAGGGAGGAGAATCTTTCTCTTCACTACGTAGAACTATGAACTCAAGAATATGGGGCAAACCCCTGTTGTTTGTTTTCTCCTCTGTCCTGCCATTTGGTCCCAGTCACAAGCATAGTTAAGGAAATGAGTAGCAGAGTGGGTAACTAAAGGTCCAGTTTTCTGACTGTAGGAGGAAAAAGGGGAGCTCTAGGAAACCAGAAAGTACCAGAGAAATCACAAAGAAGGAGGAATTCAGGAAAGCAGCCTCATGAAATTGTCTGTGACCTCCTGGGCTCACTCCCTGCACTGTGTATGCATGGATCTGATCCCAGTCAGAATACCAAAGACATTGAGAACTAAACACACAGCCTACCATCCATACCTCAGACTGACCACTGGCTGGCACACATGTGAGACAGATCTGAATAACCCTGCAAAGGCTTTGAAAAAGTAACTAACATTGGAAATAGCCCAGAGAAGGCAGGATGAAACTTGGGGCGTGAACCTGACCAGACTGTTTGCCTACTAAAAGCAAAATATGAATATTCTCCACAGGATTTAAATAAGGCCAAGAGCCTCATAACATATATTCAAAATATCCACGATACAATCTAAAATTACAAGGCATATGAAGAACCAGGAGCCCTGGTGGCACAGTGGTTAAGAGCTATGGTGACCTTATGGCTGCTAACCAAAAGGACAGTTTGAATCCACCAACCACTCCTTGGAAATCCTATGGGGCAGTTCTACTTTGTCCTGTAGGGTCACTATGAGTCGGAATCAACTCGACGGCAATGGGTTTGGTTTTTTGGATTTTATGAAGAACCAGGAAAACTTCAACTTCCATGAGAAAAGAGAATCAACACACACCAATGCCAAGAAGACAGAAGTTGGAATTATCTGCCAGGGATCGTAAAGTAGCTACTATACAAATGCTCCAGCAAGCAATCAGTCTTGAAAAAAATGGGAAAACAGTTTCAGCAAAGAAATACAAAATATAAAGAGTCAGATGGAAATTTTAAAAAATTTTTGAAAAACGCAATAACAGAAATAAAAATAGAATCAGCTTAATAGCAAAGTGGAGATGACGGGAAATAAGTCAGTGAACTTAAACACAGATCATCAATAGAAATCATCCACTCTGAACGACAAAGACAAAAAAAAAAAACAGTAAAAATAAAAGGTGAACAGAACCCCAGGGACTTATGAGACAATGGTAGCAGGTCTAATATTTGTGTCATCAGAGTCCCAGAAGGAGAACACACAGCATGTAACGCTGAAAAAATATTTTAAAAAAGAAAGGCTGAAAACATCTCAAGTTTGGTGAAAGACATACACCCAAAGATTCAAGAAGCTCAATGTAGTGGGTTAAATAGCAGCCCCCCACCCCAAAGATATGCACAGCATTATTCTGGGAACCTGTGAATGTTACTGTATTTGGAAAGAGGATCTTTGCAGTTGTAATTGATTTAAGGACCTGAGATGAGGAGATTATTCTGTATTGTACAGATGGGCCCTTAATCTAATGACAAATATAACAGAAAGGCAGAGGGAGATTGGACACACGTAGAGGAAAAGGTGGTGTGAAGACGAAGGCAGAAACTGGAGTGATGAGACCATAAGCCAAGGAAGCCAAGGAATGCTGTCAGTCACTGGAACCTTGACGAGGCGAAGAATGGATGGATATTCTCCTACAGGCTCCAGAGAGAGAATGACCCTGCTAAATTCTGGACTTCTAGTCTCCAGAACTGTGAGATAATAAATTTAGGTTGTTCTAAGCTATCCACTTGGTGGTAATTTGTTACAGCAGCCACAGAAAACTAATGCTCTCAGCAAAACTCAAGCAGATAAACCAAAAGAATTTCATGCTCAGACACATCATAATCAAACTGTTCAAAACCAGAGAAAAAAAAATTCTTGAAAGCAGCCAGACAAAACTATCTATTACTGATAGGAGAACACCAATTCAAATGAGGGAAGATTTCTCATCGAAACCATTTAGGTCAGAAAAGATGAGAACATTTTTAAATTGCTGAAAGAAAAGAACTGTCAACTCAGAATTCTATATCCAGTGAAAACATCCTTCAAATAAAGAGGAAATAAAGACATTTTCAAATGAAGTAAAACTAAGAGACTTCCTGCCAACAGACCTACTGTAAAAGAATTGCTAAAGGAAATTCTTCAGAGAGAAGGGAAATTATAGTATAAGAAAATAAAAGAAGAGCAACAGAAATGGTAAATATCTGGGTAAATATAATAAGACTATTCACCTTTCGAGGGTTGAAAGCAAAAATTATAACATTGTCTGGTGGATTTTTCCAATGCATACAGATACAATATGTAAAATAACTATAATGTAAAAGGGGAATGGTAAAGGGACTTACACAGTGGTAAGATTTCTACATTCCACTTCAAGTGGTAAAATACTGATTCTAAGTAGATTGAAAAATTATGTATATTGCAACCCCCCGGAGCAGCTACTATACAAACACACAAATATACACATATATATACATATATATATACACACACACACACATACACATATACACACGTGTCTGTGTAAACCGAAAAAACCCCAACCCGTTGCTGTTGAGTCGATTTCGACTCATAGCAACCCTGAAGGACTGAGCAGAACTACCTAATAGGGTTTCCAAGGAGTGGCTTGTGGATTCGAACAGCCAAGCTTTTGGTTAGCAGCTGAGCTCCTAACCACTGCGCCACCAGGGCTCCATATATATATATATATTTGTGTGTGTGTGTGTGTATGTATACTGTGTGTGTGTATATATATATATACATACACACTTTATAAAGATATAGTCAAAATCACAATAGATAAAGTTGAATACTAAAAAAATTCAAATAATTCAAAAGGAGGCAGGAAAGATGAAATAGAAGGGGTGGGAAGGGCCCAAAGCCCATCAAATGGGGAAAAGACAGTCTTTTTAACAAATGGTGCTGGCAAAACTGGATGTCCATCTACAAAAAAATGAAACAGGACCCATACTTCACACCATACACAAAAACTAACTCAAAATAGATCAAAGACCTAAATATAAAACCCAAGACTATAAAGATCATAGAAGAAAAAATAGGATCAACGCTAGAGGCCCTAATACAAGGCATTAACAGGATACAAACCATAAAAAACAATACACAAACTCCAGAAGATAAACTAGATAACTGGGATCTTCTAAAAATTAAATATTTATGCTCATCAAAAGACTTCACCAAAAGAGTAAAAAGACAACCTACAGACTGGGGAAAAAATT